TGGGCCGGTAGAATGTTTGAAGGGGCAGGTGATTAAGTTTTACGGAAGTTCTTCTCGGTCTCCAACCTTCCTCCTTTCTCATTCGAGTTTAGGACCGGCACGGGCGGAGTTCTCTCCACTACAGATTTGAATTATTCGATCCAGTTGCAGTGCTTGTACGGCACCCCGTCATCTTCGATGCAAGGCAATGATAGGAAGAATCATTAGTCTGTTGATAGATTCATCGAAGTGTTATTCAGGTTTTTTGAACATAATGTTGCATATGGTGGAGAATTCATTTTCAATCATTCGGAACGTTAATCGTGTGGCGTCAGTTTTACCTGTGCTATGGTATTGGCACTGACATTATGCATGATGTAAGCCGTTCATACTTGTTAAGTTGTATTTTCCTTGTCATGTGTATCAGATTTCGATTATTAGGAACTCTACTTGTGTATTATCAGTTTTATATTCTGGATTATTTTCAGTTATTTTGTGTCATTATAAGCTTATCGCTAAATTTTCTTTTAAATTTTAAGTTTCTCGTCTAATGCCATTGTCTTGCAAAAGCTGCGTGTTTAAATATCACTACCCTGTACCGACAGTGAAGTGCCGAAAGTATTGCACCATATAGGGCTATTATGCCTGCTGGATTATACCATCTTTCTTATGCTTTTACCAAACTCTCGGGTTTTACCCGTTTAGTAATTGAATGAAAAATATTAATTTCTGTATGAAATTACTCGAAGTCCATGCATTTTACTGATAATAGTTGGTTATTAGGATTGTCTGCTTTCTAATCTGGAACTTTTCAGAACTTTTCACGTTTCTATTAATAGTTTTTTTTGTCATGTTCTAGGCTGTTTTTCTCTCTCCAAAATACTGAATTTAGCTGATTTGAAGATGGCAGTGCCACCCGTTCCATGAACTGATATCCGCTGTTTCTTTCGTTTTTCAGCATTTCCGATAGTTTCACTTCCTTTTCTCGACAGCTCTGTTGTCTCGAAATCATTTGGCAGTTTATGTTCCTCGGCGGTCACTTTGGAAGGGAAGGCGGTGGTTGACTTTTTGCTGTTTCAGACGTTTCGCAAATAGATGAAGTTTGTTTCGCTTGTGTTAAACTTCGCTTTTTCTCCTGACTGATCGTATCATGGTTTGCTGAAAAACAGCAGCAACCGCTGTCGCGGTGCCAAAAACGATATCCAATAAGCCTGAGTTCCGAATGGATTTCATGAAGAGCAACTTTTCTGCGCCACTAGTGTCTGATTCGGTTCAGTGGTGGTATTGTACCGGCTGGGCTTTTAATCGTTTAAGTATTATTTTGTGTTTGCAAATAATTTAATGTTATTTTATCACAGCGAATGATCACGGAAGTAGTTTAAGCCGATTTTAATGGATTCGTGAACGTTATTCGTGACTTCGTAAAAATTAGTCGCATGTGGATATGCGAAATGCTTCTACTGTTATCCTCTGTATTGCTTTCAGCTTAATCAAACAATATTTATCATTATTTATAATTACCTCCGATATGCAGGAGAAGAGGTGACTGTGCAAAGAACACTGAGGAAAACTGAGAGCGAGCCAAGCCTCACACAGCGGTCACCAGGAACTCCCCATTCGAATGGAGTGAAGCGCAAGCGAACGTTTTTTTTAAGACGTCTGACAGGCGTGAATAGTAGCAAAACCATTTGCAAAGATGAGAAGAAATGGAAAGCACAAACAAATGTTGTCCCCAGTCCCCGGTGTGCGGCTCGAATCGGACTATCGGCTACCTCGCACGAATGATGGATGACCGATGGACAGCAGCAGTGATCAACTGGTATCCAACGGGCCGCAAGAACCCAATTAGCCCATCTCAGCTCAGATGGGAAGATGAGTTAAAAGAGTGATATAGGAACCGGTGGCTACAAATCACGCGAGACAGAAGACCGTCGTTATCATGACTTTGGACTAATGATCCCCGTAAATTGTGAGTGACGATCAGCCAATTGTCAGTTTGTGATTAAGAATTGGTGTAGACTGCATGAAACTGCAGTAGCTAAAATCTTGTTATGTGCCAACGAATACTGATGGCATACAACTTCGATGGGCGCAATTACAAGTTCCACGAGCACTGATCATGTTCGTTGCGAATTCCTGTTGTTTTCAAGCAGACAATGGAATGCTGGTCGCTTGCTTGAATGGGCAAAATGCTTTAATTTGATTATCTTGTTTTTACGGCTGAAATATCTGATTTTGAATTCCACCAAATCGTGGTTCCGCTTTTAAAATTTTTTTCTTCGTCGCTTCGCTGCGACTGTTGCCATAGCTGATTGGCCATTTAGCTGGCTCAAATGATGCAACATGTCGTTGACATCCACGCAGCACGATCGAGCGCCATATTCATATCCGTCGCCATATCAGCAGTGATAGCCATTCCGCTTTCCACCTTTACTCTTGAGCGCATTTCTCGCAATACCCTTTTGAGGCAATATCTTCCTGTGTTCATCCAAGTATTGATTTGGCCACCCTTCGTTAACAATATTTATGGCACGGAACGGTGTGCGTGTTTTATACGCTCTCTGCAATTGCTCACCAAAGGATATGTCCAAAGTAACGCAGCCGGAGTCGTTCGGATATAGCTGTGACTTAAGCGACATTCAGCTTATTGGTTAAAGCAGTTGTTCTTGCGGTCAAGCAACGTAATAGCTGCAGTACATACATCTCCATCAATGAAACAGCGATCAGACTTCATTACTGACAATGATATGTTTTTAAAGTGAGCTGATTATGTATTTTTTATATTCCATGAGCTATGTCGATGCTGAATTCCGGAAGATAGCAGATAAAATACCCATATTAGAACATTTATTTGACGTCATTTTGGTTGAACATTAACTGGTCACTACATTCGCTTCGTTTGGTGTAGTCTATGACCACCGTAAGGCAAGGTTAATGCCATCCTCTCATGTGTGCTCAATATTGCATATTAAAACCGTAAATAAAATCTTGCAGTTCAGTTT